TTTCCACAGATCAGATTCACTACTACTCATTGCTTCATCATACGTTTTTGGACTATTCGCGCTTACAAAATTTACATAAATATAATATACTTCGTTATTACTGTAACCCCATCTGTCAGGTTTTTTTGTTTCTCTGTTCGACTTTCTACGTGTTGGAATCTCAGACTCTTCGCAATCTAAAAGCTGTTCATTTTCACTTTTTGGACTCAAATTTTTCTTTGGACTTGGACTATTTTTTGTACTTTTAATTTTTATTGGACTTTTATTTTTTTCATCAAAAACTTCATATTCTACATCATTATCATTCATTTCACTTTCGCTATCAGTCTCATTATTTCCTTGAAAACCAATCAACTTTTCATCTTTTTCTATTATATCTACATTTCTTGCAACTTTAACTCTACCATTATATAATACTCTGTATCCGACATTCTCATAACCTACTAAAATTCCACAATCCGATTTTCTATCCCATTTGTTATCTCTTTGACTTTCGTCTACTCTAAAAAATACTTTGCTTCCATATAACTTCAAATTTTCAATATTAGGCTTTTTTTCAAAGAATATTTCATAAGGACTTTTTCTCACGAAAGTATTTGCAATAGTTCTATTTTTTAAATAACTCGCTGCTAAAATCGCCTCAGGCCAATATCGAATATTTAAATTTGCGTCTGATAATGAACATCTTGCAGAGTCCATAATAGTTCTATTAAATCGTTCAGCAGTTCCATTCAGCTCGTGAACGTATGGGGGGCATTTATCTAGAATTATACCTTTCTCTCTAATCAAGTTAAAAATATCTCTATTTATATATTCTTTGCCGTTGTCACATCTCAATTTTTTAATCTTTTTTCCAGTGAAATTTTCAACTTTATTTATATAATCTAGAAAACATGTGGGTACGTCACTCTTTGATCTTATGGTATAAACCACTGATAATTTACTAAAGTCATCAAGAAACGTTATAAAATATTTCGAATTATCATAACCAGTATTTTTGTGTGGACCATTTACGTCTGTATGAACCAGTTCCAATATTTCTCTAGCTCTGCTTCTATCGTTTTTAAAAGGTAAATTATGCATTTTGTTTTGTATACATGTACCACATTTCAAATAAATATTTTCTAAATTTTTCGGAATTCCGTCCACGTAATTTTCTCTGCACATGGTATTCAAATAATTAAAATTTATATGTCCTAGCATTCTATGGTATCTCTCTTTTTCAGTCTATGTGTGCTATTTGCATTGTGATTATTATTTAAAACATAACTTTCTAATTTGTAGATTCCATTTTCTTTGTAAGCTGTTCCAACTATTTTTTCAAATTTATTGTAAATCAACGATTTTTCTCTAATTTAAACAATTTTATAGTTATCTGTAATTCTCGCATAACTTAACAAGTTTTTGTCCATTTCTTTTACAAAAAATACATTGGATACTGTGATTTCAAATTCTTTACCATCTACAATCAGGTACATCAAAACTTTTCCAATTTTTGTAACTTTTAAAGGTCTACCATCTCCTACTTTTACTACTACTGGTATTTTCAATTCTGAACTCTCGATAAAATAAGAATCATCATTTATTATATGATCAGAACAACCACTATCAAGTATCCAATCTATTTTACAAAAATCATTAATATAAACTCTACTATTATCTTCACAAATTTCTTCTTTTTTGTTATAATCATAAACATTTTCTTTTTCGAACTCTACTTTCGCAAAAAATGATTCATTTGACCTAAAGTTATTTTCTTCATTAGATGTATACCTTGCGTTATGTTGATATTTACTGTTGTTGTTGTTGTTGTTGAAATAGCCTCTTCCACGTCCTCTTGGACCATAGCCTCTCTCGTTGTAACCTCTACCTCTTGTATTTGTGAAGTTATCTCTGCTCGCGTTGTTCACATAACCTCTTGGCTGATATGCCTCTTCGTATTGTCGTCGTTATTGTTGTTGTTGATTTGAATGTTGTTGTTGCTAGTAGTGACCACCTCCTGGCCATCTACCCCTCTGATTGAAGCCTCCTCGACTTCGACAATCTCTCGCGTAATGACCTCTTTTATGACATTTGTTGCACTCAACGTCACGAACTTCAGTTTTAAATACACTTGATTTTATATGATTATTAGAAATTTTATTTTTAGTTTCCATCAACACGATTTTATTTTTAAGAAATTCACAGTTTTTATCTGAGTCTTTAACACTGTCAATAATGTCACCGAAATGACTGAGTGTATCAGGCAACGTTTTAATTAAATAGTCAAGTTTTTCAGTCTCTGTTACTGTAGCACCAGCACTTTTCAATTCGTTAATTAATTTCTCAAATTCAAGGAAAAATGTGCTTGAGTTTTCAAAGTCTTTTAATCTTAGTCGATCAAGTCTATTCCTCACACAAATTTGTAAACATGTTGACGGTTTTAAATACATTTGGTTGAATTTTTTTATTATTTTGTACGCGGTGTCTTCATCACCGACATATTCAAGTTGTTTGTTCGATATACTTGAGTATATGTAATTCATAGCTTTAATATTTGATTCTTGCCACTCCGTTTCTTTTCCCGTAGTATCACATTTTTCTTTTATTGCTTGGTCTTTACACTTTTTCCACTCCAAAAATAAAAGGATTCGTTTTTTCCATTTACTATACTCTTGACCGTCAAAAACGGGTATCGATATTTCGTCCGGCTTTGTCATTTTACTCGGATTCGTTACACGTGCTTCTCTTATCAAAATGTATTTTCAAACTTTATCCGCGCGCATCTCGTTCAATTTTCATTTAATTTGTATAATTCTTTTTACATATTATTTTTAAAAGTTCATTTTATTCTTAATCGTTCATATTTTTATATTTTGTATTATTTACACAGTATATTTTTCTCTTCTCTTTTTTTATACACCTCGTGATTCAATTGTCTCATAAATTCGTTTTTTTTCGTTTAATTTGTATAATTCTTTTTACATATTATTTTTAAAAGTTCATTTTATTCTTTACCTGATTTTGTATTCACTTTTTTTTATACTTTTATATTTTTTTTCACACCACGTGTATAACCTAACCTCTCACCTTTTTTTAAACCATGCTCTGCTACCATGTTGAATATGAGGTGGATCGTTGAAATAATAACAGTGTTGAGGTTCCCCTCATTACAACAATAATAATGACATGATTATTTAATGTTAAAAGTCAATGATTGAGTTGATACATATAGATTACATACATGTATCCAAGCCATGTCGAGATGCGCTCTCTTGTCTCTTACATAGCCGACTGACTATCATATACTCTGTACATGTGCGCACGCACTCACACATCCTCGCATACATACTGATAGCGGCGCGCGCATCATCACTCATGGATATATCTATATTACATTTGTATGTGTGTACAGTATAGTTATTACGTATAATTCAACACGATTTTATCGCGCATGCTGAGCGATCTCGCTCGCGTGATCCCGCGAACTCTGATCGCGGAAAGGCTGAGTGAGCGCGCTCGCCGCGGCGAAGTTAATCTTGTAGCGATATTTGTGAAAAGGCGTCAATAAATGAGATCGCCATATGAAATATAATTGAATTAAAGTGTCCGATTCTTTGTATCAACCTTCCCCAACCAGCGCGAACGTCGGCCTGTGAAAGTCAGCGCCGGCTTTCTTTACCGAGAAAGAACCCAGAAAAATTAGCAGAGACCAGCCCAAGGCTCACGGAGGCTGACCACTCTTGCACCTAAGCCAGTAGAAATTCACATGTCATTTCTTGAGTAATCCTCAAATCAGAACATTTGACGGAATCATATCAAGCCGACGCGCAGTTGGGTACTGCTCTGCGAGTTTCGAGAGCACGTTTCGTGTTATTATAGTAGAATGTTCGGATCCAATATTTTTCAAACGGCCATATCTCTGTTAAAAAAATTATAAAATTAATTTTGAATAGTGCTTTTTGTAGGCCAAGAGTTGTTCTTTTAGAAACTGTGATCAGAATTACGCAGAAAAAATCCTTCATCATCTTACAGGTGGTCAAATATAGCAAAAAAGGGTGTTTTTGACGCTTTTAAGTTAAGATATCTGGAAAACCAACGGCGATAAAGCAATTCTGGACCCAAATTCGGAATCAGCATATGAAAATCTATTAAGTACACTATGTCTGGTTTCAGGTCCTTAAAGTTGTTGGCCTGTGTAATCAAATCATTGGAGGTTGAGGATTGATTTATAGGGTTGTACTCATGAAAGTTGAAAGCAGATGATTGAAAGGAGTTTGAAAAAACAGTAGGCAGGGATGGAAATTTATTGCACGCAATACTCGCAAAAGTACCTCTCTAGGGTACGGGGTTCCATAAGGGGTAGAGGGTTGATTTTAAAGGGTTGTGACTATTGAGGCTATTGGCAGATAAGAAAAAGAGTTTGAAATAAAGGCTAGGCAGTGGAAGTAAAGACTATAAAGAAGAATTGAAATCATAGCACTCAATACCCGTAAAAGTGCATTTTTGAAGTTTTGGGTTATTGGGTTAAGAGGGTGATCGGATCATGGGGGGTCGAGGTTTGACTTGAGAGGGTTGTGTCTACTGAGAATGAGGGTAAAAAAGGGAAAAAGAGTTTGAAAGAAGAATAGGCGTGGAATAAGTGTGCTATAACAAATAATTGAACCTATAATACGAAATACCCATAAAAGTACTTTTCTAGGGGGGTTGTAGGAGGTCAGGCACTGATTTTGGATGGTTGCGCCCATTGAGACTTTAGATCAGTATTTTGCTGGCTACCTTTGTGCAAAATTTTGGGAAATTGAGCCAAAAGCCAGTTTCCATAAGATTTGTGCGGGGTACTACAATGGTTATTTAAAGTATGATAATTTATTACTACCCTCTCTTATAAAAATGAAAAAGTCCACATTTTCAAAATCACTTTTAATTGTATCTCATCTATTTAAAAAAATTTAATATTGTATGATTATATTGTGTACATGCTTCTGTTATTAGTTATTGATTGCGAATTATTTTTGCAGATTCTCGCCTTATATGATAGATTCGGAAGATTGATACATGGCTCTAAAATAATAAAAAAAGATGTCCTTGATTACGTAGTATTTGAAAAGCATTTGAGCAACACATATAGTAAATGGCGTTTACATGGAAAAATTATTCCTACTTGGATGCCTCCTCAAAAATGTGTTTTAAAAACTTTTGTAAAATATTAATAAAGTATTATTACGTTTCTAATTTACTAAATTTATTTTCAGTATTTTATAATATAAAATATGTGTAAAAAAGTATTCAATATATACATTATTAACTATGCTGCAAGATGATGTCTATTGGCATAATTACTCCGTCGTATTTTAAATGGCGTTGTCTAATTCGTTGCTGGGCTAATTGCCGCCTCGATTATCACTGAGTTAGCTATCTCGAGTCTGGATGAGAAATCACGAAAAATGGGCTTGGTAATGTACATGAGAATTTTTTTTGCGCGATGAAGATAAAAAGAGGGTTAAAAATTTAGATACCATAACGTTGTAGTTACAAATTCTACGCGCAGCCAGCATGAGTGATTAAGGTGCCGGGCACTGAATTATAGATTAATAATTTGAGTTGAAGCAGTGCCTCTCCATGTCAGTGAAAAGCATAATTTTATTGGATTTATTAAAATAAAAAAAAAACAATAAAGAATTTAACTTAATTTTAATTTAAACTTTAAACTTTAATTTAATTTTAAGTTGTGACGGGCGAGTTGACCGTTGAGTTCGCTCGCCCTGTTCGCCTCTCTCTCTCTCTTCCGCGTGCCTTCCCCTGAGCCGCTGCCACATCAGTCTCAGTTGATTAAAACCGAGTATCGACGCACGATATGACTTTGTTGCAGGTTTGATTCCTGATCGGCGAAAATGCCTGGCGTTGGAGGGATGGAGTGGGAGCGGGGAGCAGAGGAGGAGAGAGAGAGAAATAGTGTCGCCGGCATGAGTCGCACATGTATGCGTAGCCGGTGGCGCTCGGCCGAATGGGTACCTGTAAGGAGGGGCGCGTAAGACGTCGCGAAAAGCGCGAGATCGCAACGTCAGTATGGCTTTGACCAGCAACTAATTTCGAGCTAGTCAAGCCTCACGACTAAGGAGTGCGTGAACAGTTAATTGCCACCGAGTGAACAGCATCGAAGAGGAGGACCAGCTGCATCCACATAGAGATCCACCTTCTGAGGACTACGTAGTTGGCCCAGCGGACGTGGCCTTCCACAGCAGCGCTCCCTCCTAAGTTCAGGTACCCTTTTTCGTTTCTCGGTGCGTACCTCGATTTCTCTCTCTGAGCTTCGTATCGGCCGAACGCGGACGAGTGGCTGCGTACGTGAATTCGCACCGCACTCACGGGGATTCGCGGGACAGTTGTAAGGCGATGTTCTATTTCCTGTGCGTTAATTCGCACGGAACGGACTAACCCGGACTTGGCCGACGCACACGTCAAACGCCGCATGTAAATTGCTGTTTCAATAAAGTAAAATTAAATGTCCGAAATGATGAGTTTCTTTGTGCAACCTGTCTTTCTCGTAACTAGGTAAATCGTGATTATCGACCCTACCGGACGACATAAGCCCTCGTTAATTTTCGCGACGAAGCGAATGCACCTTCCGAGCCTTCCCCTTTAAAATAATTTGTGACGCGACGTTGTTCGGGCTTATTTCCCATGCGGAATTCAAAATTATTAACGTACGTGTGACAAAGTCAAAAATCGTATACTCTAAAGACATAGACTTTGACCTCCTTAATAATAAAATAAACGCAATAAAATAAAATTAACTAAGTTGCGATTGACAAGGACAGTATGATTGATGCGAAAGTAAAATTAATGTTTACTCAAAGAAAAGATTACCGTACGAGAAGCATAGCTTTGCTGTACAAATACTACCGGCATCCCTTAGAATAAACAAAATATGAATCGTTGCAGAATTGATAGAAGGAACTATAAGCTTAGATAAACTTTACTTACACAAATCCAGATGATTACTTACATAACAATAATTGTGAACAAGTGACCATTGAAAGTCGACTTTAGCAGCATTGATAAGCCTCAACTATTACAGACAAAATTAATTGAATGAGGCACACTTTAGCCTTAAGCAGTACTCGGTTAAAGAAGACTTAAAAGCAACGTCGGGGGATATAGTCGTTACTGACTGACTGACTGGTAGACTCAATCATGTAGCTTCAACTAATGAATAAAGGTATAGGACGTCTGTAATTGGCCGCGACTCAGCACTCTCTCTTACAAGAAAACCTTCCCAACCCGACTTCTTCGATTTTAATAATCTTTTGATATATTATAGTTGAAGAAAAAATAAGACACGTGCTTTTTTTATCGGTGGAGAAACACTTTAAGAGGGTGGCAACCACTATCAAAGTTTGCCCTCCAAAAATGAATTTTCTAATATCTTTGAATTTCAAATGGATGTTTTACGATGAAATAAATTTCATATCACTTCTCATGTGAATATGAACCTAGCATATACGTTTGCGACCATACGGCGTGCAGCCCTTATTTTCGTTCTTTAAAATTCTACCTTTTTAAAGACAATTTCGAGTTTTTAATTTATTTATATATTATCAAACAAACATTATACGTAATTCCAGGACTGTGCGAGTTTACACTGCTTATTCGCATGCTAAATACAAAAAGTGAGAGAGAAACGTAAACAGCAAGCTGATTCGTGCGGATAACTTATGTTTCAGTAACGTGCTATTGTAGTCAGCAATGTTAGTACGTATATGCAAGTAAATCAGGGTCTGTATTCATGCAATCAATGATTTACTTCGAGATACGCACAATAAGTTATGTTTCTGATAAGACCTCTAGGTGGCTAGTTTGGATCTATAATCCTTGAATCTAGCCGAATGAGAAAGTCACCGAAAGATAATCAGTTAAATGGACAAAGAATGTTGGTCGATATTAACATTGGCATTCATTTATTACTGGTGCACAATAATAGCCTTAACGGGTTCAACGAGGAAAATATCGAAAAATTTGTTGTGAGGAGCGTCTGATAGATAAAAGTTTACCCTTAAAGCAGGATTTTTTTCTATATGCTAGACTATATTGTGTCCTTTATCTCTTTCGTGAAGATATATACTCATACAACTTCTCGATAGCCTACTGAGCGGAATAAAGTAGCGGTATAATTAATAAATGTTGGAAAGGTGAAGTAAAAATAATTGAAAGTGCACAGGTTGAAGTTGTAGACAAGATTTCAGAGCAAAATAAAAACCCGCTAGTTTTGAAAAAACAACAACTAGCGCTGCAAATATTGCTTACAAACAGTGTTATGCGCGTACAAACAAGAGGTGGTAACGTTACGGCTGAAATTAAATCCTTTATTCTGATGAAGTTCCAAATGAAGTGGCCTGACTGACAATTGCTAATCATCCAGACAGATTCAAATCGAAATTGTACCTTTATTGGATTAATCTCTATACCCTTCTCCGCGATCCTCTCTTCTATCGATGGTGAGGGCTACCCAAACTATGGCTCCCCTTAAGGCTAGCATGTGGGGGGTTGAGTTTGTTTCTGACGTCAGAGGTTTCGTTGCGAGTATTGCCCGAATGCGAAATAACAACATTTGCTGGTATTTTGCCAAAAAATAAAAGATTCTTCTGGAAATCGTTTCCGCTCGTCTACACATAGTTACTGTAGTGTTCTGATGGCTTGGAACAAGGGTCAAGCAGTACCGTAAGTGACGGTGGTGAGGCGGTAATGTCTGATGGCCTGGTCTGGGATGTCTCACCACAGGATGTGCAACCAGTCGAAGTCCTCTGAATGAATGTTGAATTGCCGGAACATTTTGACGATGTCGGCTATTTGTAGTTTAGGACCTAATTTTTCTTATTAGTGCTACAATATGTATAAAATAAGTTATTTTAACAATTCATTTACCTTAAAAATAAATGATAATAAAATATTATTTCATTATTCTATTTCCCTTTTTCATACTTTATATAAATTCAGACAATATTATCCTTCAATATATTGGCTATTACCCTTGGTCTTATACAGCATCATTTTTCTTAGATGAAGCTTTATGCCATTAACCCTGCAGACAAATATAATATGTATTAAGATATGTATTGTCGACATATTTCAGAGAGGCCGATCTGAGACCGATGCATTGGTCTTGTTGTTTACGAGAAATAAATACATGATAAGATTTGTGAGAATGCTTTGGCGTAGAAAGAAGGACTTTTTCATACTTCCACCGTAACGGGGGAGGTTATCTAATAAAAATGGGAAATTTATTTAAGCACAAACTCCCACGATGCAGAGCTAACCGCCGCTTCGTTAAGCACGTATAATTATACGTATATTCGCCTTTACGTCAGATGATTTCGTTTCGGTGTCTTCTTTCCAACTAAGTTGAACTCACCTTAAATCACTTGACTTGTGACACTCGATGTATCTTAGGTGTGAGTGGCTTTATGCCTAATCCGCTTAATCCCCTAGATGAAATCGGATTAAAACCTAAGCCTTTATAAATCGCTTAAGCTAATAGGAAATGAAATGACGTAATCGGCGAATAAAATTAACTAATTTTAATCAATAAAAACTACAGTCTTTTATGGACCGAAAGACTAACGCACGCGAATAGGATTTACAATTAATTATTAATATTCGGTGAGAGAGAGAGAGAGAGAGAGAGAGAGATAATTCAAAAATTGCCGCGAAAACTAACACTCGGCGCGAATACAAAAAAATTCAAGATCGCGATTGACAAAATACTTTCGAACGTATTTTGTCACGCAACAACAAAAGGAGATGTACCTACCCTGCGGTGCAATTACGGTGATCAGCCGGAATTGTTGAAGCGATGAAATCTGCTCCTCGGATCAATCAGCTGGCTGCCTTGCTCTCGAATCTATTGCTGCTGCTACCAAAATGCTGCTATTGCTGCTTCCTTGCAACTCACGCACGCACGTATCAAAGTAGTCCCAGGAAACTTTTAACGACGAAACACAGTGCAAAAATTTAGGCGGTATAATCGCAAAAGCAGCTGAGGCTTAACTGCCTATTTCAAACTCTCGCGCGCCCTCTCTCTCTCTCTCTCTCTTAATCGTTCGAACTATCACGCGAGTAATAGAATCGCGAACGGATGGATTAATTGAATCGACTACCGTTGATCCACATAAACAACTAACAGGAGTTTACCTACACAAATTCAAGACCGTACTTGTATCCGGAACCCTATACAGTAGCCGAGAAAATTGATTTACTAACTGGGTGTAGTTATATTTTGAGATAAGCAAAATTTTCCTAGGGAGGGAGAAAATTTAGACGTTGTGTTGATCGATTTTTCTTTTTCGCTGTTTGTCTTACTTAGCTTTGAATTCTGACAAGATCATTTTGTTCAATTATAGTTAATTTAATAAATATAAAAATTCAGTAAATAAGTGTCAGTAATTAATTTTTAAATTTTGACTTGTGTAAAAAAATTGTAACTAGTGAAAAATAGAGAACATTGTAAATACCTGTCAGTTCTTGGAATCCGTAAGTAAACATTTTAAAAATTAAAAATAATTTAAAAGAATATATATATATATATATATATATATATATATATATATATATATATATATATATATATATATATATATTGACAATTGCGCGCGTCCTTTTAATGTAATCGCGCGAATATAATAATTAAACGGTTATATATATATATATATATATATATATATATATATATATATATATATAACCGTTTAATTATTATATTCGCGCGATTACATTAAAAGGACGCGCGCAATTGTCAATGCTCACTACATATCCGGGAGAGCACGAGAAAGTATGCGTCAGTCAACCAATAATTGTTAATAACCTATACTAAAATGAGTATGAGCTATGAGGTAAAAGCGGATCGAAAAACACTTGTTGGTAATATGAATGGTATCCTTTATTATTCCTCAAAATTCACAAAAGGTCGGCCCGCGCGTTTGTTTACATGAACGCTCGCTCGTCGACAACACGCTTTGCCGGTACTCTCGCTGCTCTTTGTTATTAGAGCCGTTACATGCACGCATCGAATGTTAGAATCAAATTATTATTCATATGATCGCGATCGCGAAATTAAGCTGGCCAGCTTACCTTATGTTTGCAGGCGATCGGAGAAAAACAGCGATAACTCGCACAGCACGGAACAGTTTTTATATCGTTTTTGTCTTGCTCGCGGGTCGCGAATGCGCGCACGGATTGGTTTCGCCCTCGATGGCGAAACCTCACTCACACACACACTGCTTGGCCTTAAGCTGGCGGCTGGATGATTCCTTGGAGGCAGCTGTCACGGCTATCTGGCACTCTCGGTTATTGCTGAGCTGGCGTATAGTTGATAAGGGCACGTGAATCGGCAGATGCGGTAGCGAAAGCGGGCGGACACGACAATGGTCTAGGCTTCACTGGTTCAAATTCGGTCGCGCGCGTTCCGTCTGCTCGCGTGCCGAATTCCTTCGTTACCGATTTTGTCCCCCCGGCAGGTGCTGCCCTCACAGGCAGCAATTAAGCTAAATAGTCAGCGATAATTTGACGTTTACCGTCACAATATATATATATATAATAATTTTTATTGACTGATTTACAGAATATGAATACTAGCCCAAGAAAGTTGTGTCGGCTGCTAATCGTCCTCTTAAATACGATAAGTACTTTTTATATTATTTATTATTTACTGGGACATCACAGCGCGCTTCGCGCGCACAAGTGTACGTCACATGTGATTTAATTGTAGATTAAATAAAGAATTCAAGTTAAAGTATATATCGTTTATTTTTGAAATGTATCGTTTATATATATATATATATATATATATATATATATATGAGAATAAAACATAAACATAAAATTTTCGAATGAATTGAATCAATCTCAATGATATAATTCTGTATAAACATAATTTTTAACAACTGCAGTTTGCCTTTGATTTCCTAGATATATTTTCAATGAATTCCATGATCTTACTCAAGGCATTGCTACATAACGTTGACCGTGATTAAAAACATCTCTTCGAAGATCGATACCAATTTTGTCTAAAGTTTGTCCTTGTGCTTTATTTATCGTCATAGCAAAAGCCAATCTTATTGGAAATTGGCGCCTTTTAAAAGTGAAGGGATATAGATTTTCACAATACCATGTAATCCGATTAATAAAAACTATATTATTCCGTTTATCTCCCGTCAATATTTTACATTTTAATAAATGATTAGAAAAATCAATTATTTGCAACCGTGTTCCAGTACACAATCCTTCACTGAGATTAATATTCCTGATTAACATAACTATACAAAATTTTCTCAAACGTAATTTATGAGGAGGAAAGTTAGGTGGGTTTAATGAATTAAGGTACTCAGGTAAAAGAACATCTCCCATTTCACCATTGTCACAATTGTCTATACTGTCTATGCTCGTGTATATATGTTCAGTCATTTTATCTAATAAATCAGTAATTTTATTATTCATATCATCCACATCAATATTTCTAGCAGATAGGATAGCACAATTACTAATATCATCAAATTTTTTGTCTTTTATCGATTCACCAAAAATGTGTTGAACGATGCATTCATTTGCAGGTAGTATACAGTGTTATGGAAGTTGTAAATTATCATCTTGTTCATTTAATGTTCCATCACCAACATGCAATAAATATTTGGCAAATTCAATTTCATGTGGTAAAACTCTCATGTTAGTATTCAACTTATATATAGAAAAAAATGACCACAACCGAGAATTTTTTATAGACATATTTAATATTTCGTTACGCGTCCCATTAACTTTAATAGGAAGTAATTGTCTAAAATCACCCCCTAAAACCATTATTTTCCCACCGAATGGTAGATCATTGTTCATGATATGTTTTAAGGTTCTGTTCGCTATTTCTAAAGCGTATCTTGGCGCCATTGGTGCTTCATCCCAAATAAATACTTTAGTATTTTTTAAAAGCATACCTTCCGTTGATTGTATTTTAATATTTGAAGAGGAATCATTAAACATCGGAACTGGTAAGCCGAATGTCTTATGTACCGTTTTTCCATTAGGCAGCAATGTTGCAGCAATGCCGGCGTATGCCATTGTGGAGCATTTGATATTCTCTGACATAAGATTATATATGGTAGTGTAAACGAAAGTTTTGCCAGATCCTCCTGGTCCATCAATGTAGAAGCAAGTTAAGCTAGTATAATTATGAGAACGTGATGCTTCAATAATGTTATTGACTATTTCTTTTTGTTCTACATTCAATTTTTCATATTGTTCATTTCCAATTCGTAATAGTTGTGTTCTGTCAAAGTTATTCGTAATATCAACTATGCATGTCATAATACTTTGATCCATTGTCGGAAAGTCAGCTAAACTTTTTCCTTCTTTAATTAACATATTATTTATGTCAGAATAAGCCATTTGATAACTGATATTAGATTCGTTATTACGCGAAAAATCTTCAGACATAGAGTCTTTAAAGGATTCCCATAATTTCTCTGGATAATTTGGTTGACAATGAATCAGTATAACAACAAATAAATGTCTGAGGCGTCTAGGCATCATCCAAAGGCTAGCTTCCCTCATAGCTTTGTTCCATTCATCGTCATCTTCTATAATTCCTAATGCTAGACATGCTGCTGTGAAAGAATGATGTAATACATTATCTATTCTTTTTAAGTCATCGTAACTCGTAGCCCCTTTGACATGAAGTAATAATAATCTCAAATGAAATAATTCAATTTGAGTTGGACTTATTGAATACATTCGGCCTATACAATTGAGATGTTTTTTTCGAGTTGCCCATGAAGAAACCATTTGACCATCGACTTTAATTTTTTTGTAGGTAAAATGTTTAGGAATTTCAGTATAGTAATATTGCCTTGCTGTCTCGTTAGTTGCATTCAACTTAAAATAATCAAGTAACATACTGCTCGAATTATTTAAAGTTGCTAATAAAGACGTTTCATTTTCATCCTGTGCAATAATTACTGCTTGTTCATTAGGTAAATGTACCGATAATCTTGTAACGACGTGACTCTTATCTTGCAATTTTTTACTGAAAATTCTGTAACATGCTTCCACTGGACCAACATAACGTGTTTCAATGAAATTATGACATTCATCGTGATCAATAGTGGTACCGTTTTCCGTTTGTTCAATCACAACTGTAGCAGCATCGTGTCCTTTATAGACATATTTATATAAATATATAACAGATGTAATACTTGAAACAATTTCCACGTTAATATGACAATCAAAAATTAGAAGTAATTTAGCACAATATGGAACTACCCACCTATTATCTACTGTATGTCCATTACAACATTCATAAGTACCGGTGTCTCTTCTTTGATAATGTGGATAACCATTTTCATCCTTAGTAGTATTTTGATAAAATTCTTTTGGAAAATGTTTTGAGCACTTTTTCTCTTTCATGCACCAATCGCCACATAGACCATGAATCATATTTCTCATGACTATATCGTATAAACGGGAATCGCTGTAATTTATTGGTATTTCAGCTGATATAAATTTATTAACTATATCAGGCGTAGTAATTTTGTACCCTTGCTCTAATGTAATTAGTAAATGCATATGCGGCAATCCTCGTTTCTGGAATTCAATTACATAAACGTAAGATACAACTTTTCCGAATAAACTTTGTTTAATTACAACAATCTAGTAAACGATCTTTTTTTAAATCAAAAACTCTTGCTACTAAATCTGGTCTATCGGCAGTTTGTTGTCCTGGAAACAAATTTTCTGTTATTTCTGGCCAATTAGGGTTACATGTCATTGTGAGAAAAATATCTGGTTTTCCTGTCTCATTTACTATAGCCATAGCGTCTTGATAACATTGTTGCATATGCCGAGGTAATCCATTGAATGATGAAGGAAGAATAATAGTCTTGCCTACTTGACCATGAACATCATTTGCACAAATCCTCATGTGATCATGTAAACCTTTGTACGTATCAGCCCGTATTTTTTTTTGATGATTCTTACAATAATCAATTCTATCTCTTTCAATTTTTACATAACTATCTACTACCCATTGTTGAAATAGTTTACGCCCTTTTATAATAGGATTAAATTCATCGCCCCTAATAGCTAACCTATGTCTAGTGTAATCTAAGCGCGTGATTTTGCAATTATTATCAACGCGATGCATGTTATGATGCCAACAGTGTGGTCCATATGGGTAGAATAAAGGATAAATCCAAGCTTCAACATTAGAATCTAAGGAACTTACAGTTTGTAATTTTTTTGTATTTTTATTCCTTACAGTAATGTATGATTCAGGAATTTCTCCATCAGCAGTTGTTGAAAATATTGCAGCAACTTCATTTACTCGTTGAAAATTATATCTACGCATATCTTGTCCAGATTTTAATGAAAATAGTAAATGCAGTTCTGATGATGATGATTCGTTTCTCATGTCTGATACTATTTGTTGTATGCGTATTTCATCTTTCATCATTTCATAGGATTTAGCATAAATGTTATTATCACGAATAATACCGTCTAAGATTCCCATTAATTTATAATCTATTAGAGGATTTTGTTGGATTCGATAACACAGGCCGACAAAAAATTTTAGCAAGAACCCGAGTATAGTTTTCCGAAGGTTTTTTGCGCGCTGAATCCGAATCCGAGGTCAGAATTACTCTGGTGGCTCCGGTTTTCGAGATATCCTAACTTTAAAGTGCAAAAAACGCGATTTTTGCCTATATTTGAGGTTATGTAGCAAAGAAAAGAAATTTTTTTTCAAAAAACTGTATACGAGGTGTGTTCAAAAAGTAACGAGAATTTTTAAATTTCGCGGGTTTGGAGAGTCCGCTTGTATAAAATTTTTTTTTATTATGTTGGTACATATGCCCCTGAAGTACGATAAAATTTTCAGCAATATTCATTGCTTACTTTTTAAGTGGCAGCCGCTAACGTTAGACGTGTTTTTCGAGCTCGGCGATTTTCGTTTGTGAAAAAAAATGGATCAAAGAATTTGTATTAAATTTTGCGTAAAAAATGAAATAAAGTGTAGTAAAGTTTGTCAAATGTTAACAAAGGCATATAGTGAGTCTGCTATGAGTAAAGCAAGGATTTATGAGTGGTATAGGCGTTTCCAAGATGGCCACGAAAACGTTGAAGATGACGAACGACCCGGACGCCCAAGCACATCAACAACCGATGAAAACGTGAAAAAAGTGAAAGAAATGGTTATGAACGATCGCCGAATCACAATCAGAGAAGGTGCTGATGATGTTGGCATATCAGTTGGCTCATGCTATCAAATTTTTTCGAATGTTTTGGGTTTCATACGTGTGGCAGCAAAATTCGTTCCAAAATTGTTGAATTTCGAACAAAAACAGCGGCGAATGGAAGTTGCTCAGGAGTAGCTAAATGAAGTCAATGACGATGCAGAACTACTAAAACGTGTTATAACAGGTAACGAAACATGGGTTTACGGATATGATGTCGAAACTAATGCTCAATCGTCCCAGTGGAGGCATTCTGGATCGCCAAGACCGAAAAAGGCTCGACAAGTACGGTCGAATGTGAAGGTTATGCTTACTGTGTTCTTCGATTTTAATGGCATAGTGCATTATGAATTCTTGCCACAAGGTCAAACAATCAATAAGCAGTACTACCTACAAGTTCAACGTCGTTTGCGTGAAGCAATCCGAAAAAAACGCCCGGATTTGTGGCAAAACAATTCATGGCTTTTGCACCACGATAATGCGCCTGCTCACACTTTATTGCTTGTTCGTGAATTTTTGGCCAAAAACGAAACTGTAACGATGCCTCAGCCTCCATATTCGCCAGATATGGCTCCATGTGACTTTTTTCTATTTCCAAAAATAAAGAGAACATTAAAAGGCCGTCGTTTTAAAAGCATAGATGACATTAAAAGCGAATCGCTGAAAGAGCTAAAAGCTATTACAAAGATCGAGTTTCAAAAGTGTTTCGAGGATTGGAAAAAGCGTTGGCATAAGTGTATTGTATTCGAAGGGGACTACTTTGAAGGCGACAACATTAATGTAGATGAATAAATAAATATTTTTTTCATAAAACGAAAATTCTCGTTATTTTTTGAACACACCTCGTACATCAAATTAAAGTATGAGTTTTCTTCTTTCAAATGCCGTTGAGTATGCTCGGATATCTTTTTTTTTCACGAAGTTACACAAATATGAAAATTTCAAATTTTATGAATTTAAAAAGCACCACACCATTCAGCCCAAGCTATCTAACAAGTAACCATATTAAAGAGCCACTCACCAATTTAAACCAAACTTGGAAATATCACAAAACACTAAAAAATATTGTGAGCATCGTGCTTCTATTTACAAAATGCTCTCTTACGGGTAGAAACCACCCCTGCCAACCCCTAAACAGGCTCACCCATATAACCCTGGGTAGAGCAAGTTTAATTAACTGCTTTTTGATAAAAAAAACTCATTTTCCAATCACAGGTATGCGTACTAATCTCGACCTAGATAAGCCTCATCCCCAAATACCTGCTGAACCCTTTAAAACCACCCCTACCAACCCCTAAGTAGGCACACCCACATGACCCTGGGTAGAGCAAGATTAATCAACTGCTTTTCGGTAAAAAAAACTCATTCTCGGGGGTTTTGGAAACCCTTCAAGTTACTATTTTTCGAGCGAAATATTGATTTCAAAAAAATATCCTCCACCATTTTGAATTCGCTATCTGGCGTTCGCCATCTTGGATTTGAAAATGCTTGGTTAAGTTTCAAAAAAGTTATAGAAAACTTTTTGGGAAACTATCGAGATCCTCAATACTCAACTATAGTCACAAAAATGTTAAAGGATTTTCAAAAATTAGGCTGTTTAATGAGCATGAAATTGCATTTTTTATTTTCTCACTTGGACAACTTTCCTGAAAATGTAGGGGCATTCAGTGAAGAGATGGGTGAACGCTTTCATCAAGACACTAAACAACAAGAGCGACGTTATCAAGGTAAATTAACTGTGCGAATGATGGCAGATTATGCCTGGTCTCTTAAAAGAAACGACAACTCGCCTAATCATAGACGCAAGTCTCTTAAACGAGCGTTTGATTGGTCACGTGAACGCTTCCATAAGAAAAAATAAGCATATATAAAACAAAAAGAAAATAAAAAATTACAAAAAAAAATTAAAATTCTCAAAAAAAAAAAAAAAATATAAAAAATGAAAAAAAAACAAAAAAAAAACGAAAGGAGTCAATACCGCCACGTCCACGTTTCGTGACTCTGGGTTCGGCTGAGAGCGGTAATAAACCATTTTTAATTTTTAAAAGTTCAAATAAAAATTCTTACAAAACAGTATCGTATTTAGTCCACACATACTCCTAAACTCACGTAGCAAGAGGCTGCCCATACACATATGCACGTACACATCCAAGTCCAAAACATCATAAAATCCACAAACTAATACACCTCATCTAAATTCACAGATCCTCAACTTTCTCACACAAGCAAAACTCACCACTTCAAACCTACACATCTCGAGCCAACGAAACTCACGCTTACACACCCGGCCCTAAAAGAAAAAACAAGTCACTGATCGATTCTTTGTGTGTATGAATTTCGGGGTGAGTGGATTTGAGATGGTGAATATTTAAGAAAGTTGGCTTAGAGTATTAGATTTTAGGATGTACAGGCTTAGTTTAAGAAATTAATATGGCGGCGATTTGGATGAGAACGTGATTGGTCGGATGAAAGAGGCTGCGCGGTAGCACAACTGATCTCCTTTTCACCATGATACAGGTGAACAGTGGTAGGGTACCTTGCTTGGGCGTTTAAAGAGGTAGTTTAAGGGTTGTAATGGTGTACGTATAATGATTAGACATATCAAGAATGTAATTAGTAAGCCGATTTGTGGTTAAAAATTTACTTTGTTTATCAAAAAGTACTTAATTAAACATGCTCTACCCAAGTTTACGTGGGTCAGCCTGCTTAGGAGAAGGTAAAGGTGGGTTTAAGGGTCGAAAATAAAAGTAGGATATGAGGCATATCTAGGTAAAGATGTGTGCGCCCATTTTTGATTGAAAAATTAAATTTTTTCATTAAAAAGCACTTGGCTAACTTGCTCTACCCAGCGTCATGTGGGTGTGCCTGCTTAGGGGTTAGGAGGGCTGGTTTTAAAGGGTTGAGGAGGTATTTGGGGGTGAGGCCTATCTAGATCATATTAGTACGCATACCTGTGATTAGAAAATGAGTTTTTTTATCAAAAAGCAGTTAATTAAACTTGCTCTACCCAGGGTTATGTGGGTGAGCCTGTTTAGGGGTTGGCAGGGGTAGTTTCTACCCGTAAGAGAGCATTTTGTAAATAGAAGCACGATGCTCACAATATTTTTTAGTGTTTTGTCATATTTCCAAGTTTGGTTTAAATTGGTGAGTGGCTCTTTAATATGGTTACTTGTTAGATAGCTTGGGCTGAATGGTGTGGTGCTTTTTAAATTCATA